GCCGAGTGGCAGCAATCGAAAAGAATTCAGCAATATTTTTATTATTAAATTTAATCAAATTTGGCAATAATTCAGCTACCGAATGACATAATTTTGACTAGTGTAACATACAGTATATTTAATTTAATAAAAATAAATCATATTGATTTATTTAAATAATATTTAATTTTTTTTTATTTTTATTTTTTTTTTAAATGGTGACTTAATTTTTTTTTATTAAAGTTTCAAGTAATGATAAATAAATACAAATATAAGAAATTATTACTAATAAAACACTTCTAGAATTGTCTGTGAGTAGTTAAAATTTTACACTACTACTACCACTTTAATTCTGTAAGCTAGTTACTCTTTGAAGGCTTCATCAGTCAAGGGCATACTGTCTGTTCCTCAGTTGCTTTCAATATCTCCACGTTGTGAAATTCTAACTATTTCAATTTACGAGATAGCTTGTTGTCAAGGAGAATTACTTAGATCAATTTAATTTATACATCAAGAAAAAAAATTTATCAATTTTCCTAGATTCCCCCTAACTAATATGCTCAGGTGAGACACGTTATCCCCCCAAAAAAAAATTTGACACCCTTATATCTCACTTACCATTCAATCCAACTTTGTCATGAGAACTTTATTTCAAATCTTTGCCTATTCGATAGAACTAAAGAAGAAACCTATTCAGTGATCAGAAGTGGATGACTATAACCATAAAATCTAGTTGTAGTATCTTGTGACCTTTACTATTATCAGATGGACTCTTTCTTAAAGAAACTAATGATGTAAATAGAGAAGTATTTTGTATCTATCTACACTAATACAATGACTTATGGTGAATCCCAGGTTTTTATAGAGCTGAGAAAATGTATTCAGACACATGAAGTAATCAATAAGAGCTTGTTTATATTCTTTTACTAATATGAGCTTTATCTGTCCAATCACGGTGTAAGAAATTTTGTGCTACTAAAAATTTAGAATCAAACTAAGGTAGGCAAAATTCCTCAAAAAAAACAAAGAATGAGCACCATGAGAAGTAGACATAATAACAAGAGAGTGAGAAAGTTGTTTTTTATTATTTACAGGTTTTTGTAATATTTCTAATAATATTTAATTTATTTATTTTTATTTTATTTTTTTTTTTTTAATGCTAGCTCAACCTTTACTTTATTAGATATAATTTTTAAATGTTGATGTAATACATATTAAAAATATAATTATAAATCTATAAAGCTATGATATGACTATACTGGTCAACCTCGGGCATGTTGCTGTCTCTGAAGTGAGAACTAGCGAAAGGCCACTAGTGTTGAAAAAATTTTTATAGAGGGGAAGAGGGAAGGTCGAAAAATAAATAAATGAATGGGATAGTTAATCTATATATACAATTTCTTGCTATGTGACTTTCTCAGGAGGAAGAAAATTTCATTCAGAATATTCATTAAAACCCCTTAGATAGTGTCAAATACCCATTCATATATGATAGTAGAAACATCAGTGCATGATTTGATCATATTTCAGATCCTCCAATAATTTTTGCACAATGTCAGTTGTGTTTCAAATGCCTTTACCTAGGTTCTTGAAAATAATATTTAATTTATTATTTAAATATATTAATTTATTATTATTATTTTTTTAACTAATCTGCAATTATACTATAAATGACTTGTCTTTATTAAAAAATTAAAATAAAATCCATAATAATTAATAGACTTTTTTATAAAACAATTAACTTGTCATTATATATATTATAAGTACTTAAGTCAAATTTTGAAAACAATATTATTTTCTTAATATAATTGGATTAATTACTATTAATGTGAATTATTGTCAACAGTTTATTACTATTAATTAACTTAAAAATAAATAAATTGTTAAGTTAAATGAAAAAAATATATATAAATAAAAAAATGAAACCAATTTAAAATCTATTTAAAAAGTAAAAATAAAAATAATTTTTTTTAAAAGACTTAAATCTTTAAAAAAATCTTCTTTATTATTTATAGTATTAAACAAGTCAATTTAACTAATATTTTATTTAAATTAGTATCAAATTAGAATATTCAAAAAAAGTTTTTAGATTTTGATTTTTGTCTATTAAAGCTTTAAGAAAATTAGATAAAAAATAAAACTTATAATTTATATTACTTATCTCTTAATCTTTTAGTAATATAAATATCTTTATTAGAGAACTTGAGTTTTTAGGAACAAATATTTTAAAAGATTCTTTTCAATTATCAATAATATTATCAAAATATATAAATATAATCAATAGAAACTTATTTATATTAAAAACCTAATAAAGTGCATTATATTTGATAAGAATTTGTATTATTCAAAATTTATAATCAAATTGAAATAAACAAAATTATTCAACAAATCATAAAAATAAAAGTTTTTAGAAGATTAAAATAGTCAAAAAATGAAAAAATAAATATTTTTGTTGCAAAAAATCTTTATGAATCTCTAGTTTTAAAGGTTAAACAGGTCTTCAAGTGCTTCTCAATTAGGTTTTCTTCTTTAAAAACTTTTTTACCATTAATATCAAATATGTTACTTGACTTTTATTGATTATTGAAAGTCAAGTTTTTAAGTGAAAAGATTTATAAACAATAGAAAAAGGATAAAAATAATTCTTGAAGTTATATTTCAAGTTGTTTTAAGAAAAGTATTAAGATTTTATTAATAAAGAAATGTAAAAATTATTTAAAACATCTTTTTTTATTATAATATTAAATAAATATCTATAATATTATATTAACTTTATATATCAATTAATTTGTTATTATATATTTCTGATAAATTAATACATGATTTTTATTAAAATTTTATTATTAATTTATTTTAAAAAATAATAAATAATAAATTAAAAAAATCAGTAATGAAAAAAGAAATAATCTAAAACTTCTTTAAAATTTTTTTACTAAATTCGATAATATCTTTTCAAAAGAGATCTTTCTAATTGAAATATTTTCTATCTTCAAATTGTTCAAGAAATTTAGATTTTATATTAATATATCTAATTATAAATTAATAATTTTTTAAAGTTTAAAATTTACAATAAAAAAATTTAGATATTAAATTTTTTTCTTAATAAACTAAAATAATGCAACTTTAAATAAATAAATCTTGCATCAAATAATCTTTATTGAGAATATTAAATCAATAGCTATAAAAAACCATCTACAGTAATACGATATACAATACAGTATATTCAATTATTATGTTTTTGCATTTAATTAGATAAGATAAATTAAGTAAATAGTATATGGTTGTTGAAACTACGTTCCATCAATGCGCTGACTCATTCTTGTAATACGTCATCAGTTTTTTTTCAAAAGTCGTGGCTCTTTGTCTTTTGAAGAAATCTCGGTGTATTCTCATTTCTGTCGTGTGACATTAAACAATAGGAATTATGTAAGTTAACGCCATCTCTTCCGACGAAAAAAAAAAACCTATTCTTCACTCAAAGGCACATATATCTTCTTTTCTTTCAACGAAAAAAGTACAACTTGCTTCTCGATAGGTTCCGGTCCGTGTATAATGTAAGATTTCAGAACTTTAAAGTTTTAGCAGCTCGTGATTTAATGTATGTTAAAGTTTGGGTTCGTAATTTATGTCAGCTGCGGTCTTGTACGTACCTTGTACCACGACGTAATACCTTTATAATTCCAAATTAAGAAAAAACTTGGAAGACAATGGAAAAGCTTCCGGATGATTGTCTTTCACAAATTTTCTTTTTCTTGCAAGATGACAAAGTTTCCTTGCACGCTTCCATCCTGGTAAACCGTCAATGGTGCAAAAATGCTATCAAAGATTTATGGAGGCAGCCATTTCGGCTTGTGATGGCTGACAAAAACACCGAGAAGTACACATCGAGAAATCGTACAAGCACCGGAATGCTTGTAAAAATCATCTTGTCTTGTTTAGTTGATGTCTCAGGTTATTATTCCAGCGAAAATTCTAATGCTCGTGTGAAAGAGCATGTTTTTAATTATATCGAATTCATTCGTCATCTTGATCTTGACGATTTGGGGCTTGCGATCGCGGAATGGACGGAATACTGTTTTTCACCGGAATTTAATCAGAACGCAGAATCAGTTAAACATCGAAATATCATTTTTTCCGCTTTGTCACCACGCAGAGTCACAAGGTTTACGTCCTACAAAGATTTGAAAGGCAACAATTCCTTCATCAAGGGAATCGCAGAAGGAATTTGCAAACTTTTGGTAATGCAAATACCGCGACTTGACTCAATTTCAATCAAGCCCGTGTGGTTTGATAAATGCGTGCAACCTTCTGCTGTGATCTGGGAGCACTTTCACGAGAGCTCTGCTTACTCGAATATTACTAATGAATACATGGGTCTCGCCACCTATCCTAACGCGGACGTCTGTTTATCCAAATTATCCGAATTCTCTTGGATAGATAATTGCCCTCGATCAATCCAGGTGATACGGGAGCTTTCTTCATTAACTAACAACATTAGGAAAATTTCATTCGGCATTAGTTTTAAGCCTTACAAGGGAGAAGCATTGGCTTTTGAGTCCATGATATCGTTGATCGAAGCTCAAAATGCGCTATCAGATTTTGATCTACAGAACATAGACATATCCAGTTCTACTCTGATGAAGACTCTTGCACGACATAAAAATACCTTGACAAGGCTATGCTTTAGATCTGTAAATATCTCAAAATCCGAAGACATTTTAGAAATAGTGCAATTTAAAAAGTTGGAGGAACTCATAATCATAAACAGCAATCTTGAAAACAAAGATCATTGGCCAATAAGCTTGTCCCATTTTCCCAATTTAATTGCCTTTCAGATAGATGATGTTTGTCCAACAACGATCGTGGCGGGTGTTGATGTAGACATTGGAGAGCCGGGGATAAAATTGAACACATTTGTTTACAATCAAATCCGACTTTATAATTCCGATTCTACTCGGTCAATTCTTGAGTCGATTGAACATTGTACAAATTTAACATATTTCGAATGTAACGCGGAAATTGATTCAACTGACCTATTGATGCCGATTTTCATTTTGTCAACAAGACTCAAGACGATTATCGTCAAAAACAAACGACGTTCATTGAACATCAACGAAATGTTGAGGTCGGTACGATTGGCGCGATTGAATCATTTGGAACTTGAAGGGACTTGGCGGTTTACATCCGATTCATTGGAAGTATTCCTCAATAATTCAAGACCACCTCTTAAGACTTTGTCATTACATTACTCAAATTGTTTTGAGGACGATCACCTTGAGGTGCTGCTGAGGAGTCTGAGCGGAGTATTGGAAAAGATTGATTTGAAGGGTATGACCAAGAGATTGAGCTTTGATTTGAGAAAACGAGCTCATCGAGTTGTTAAGAATTTCTATTATGGGAAATGAAGTTATTATCCACGTTGATTGAAACTTGGAAAAAGTGAAAAGTAAATTATTTAATTTCCCAAATTTCACGAAAACCCAAAATACACTATTTTATTCCCACAAAAAAAAGTTTTGAACATTACAATCGTGCGTGTCACAAGGAATGGACTATTTCTTACTGTCCTTAATTATTCAAACCCGCAAAAATTTTTATTCTACTTTCATTTAATTTTTTACCGCCTAATTCATATTTTAAAAATTTCCAGAAACAATGTGATTAACTATAGGAAATAATTTCAATCTGAATGTCGGATTCACAATATCCGGGATCAAATAGATGCATCTTGATTGGAATAGATGTGCACTGGCAAAGAGGTCTGGCTAATGGGGCATTCTACTTTTGCGCCATTATTTGTACACTTTTATTGTCCTTTTAAATAATAATTTAGGTTCAATAAGTTTAAAAAATAGTGTTACCGGATAATGCTTAAATTTATGTCAATGATATCGAAAAACTTTCAAACTGAAATTGCATTATATCAACACCATTGTGATACGTTTATAGTAACGAATGATGCGTTAGGAAAGTATCTATCGTGATATTGAAATATTTCTTGGATAGTGTTGATAATCTCCTTTCGCCATTGGTATCCAATTTAAGCCATCAAGAGTCGTTGAGCCATCAAAAGAAAACAGTCGATTTGCAATCGATGGATACGTCGACGCCGAATGATTTCCTTCACAAGATCAAAAATAATTTTGTGCGCAATAAAAGAATTCGCTCTTGTCGCCCTTACCTTGCACGCAAGGGGTGCTTGTATAATGGCATTATTGGACGGTTTGGCGATCACAATTTTATGTAAATTAGAAGGATGTTTACTTAAAATCTATTAAGAAGCAAAATATTGTTTTCAAAATTGCACTTAAAGGTTAAAGCTCTTTTAAGAATTAAAAGCTATTGATGAGTGAGTCAACACAAAATCTAGTTTGGCCATGATACAATTGCTCTATATATTTCTATCAATTTTCTTAATAATTAATAAACATATAGTGCTGATCTAATTATAAGTTTAAATAATAATAATAATAATAATAATAATAATAATAAGATATAACTAAATTATAATAATAAATAATTCTTTTTACTTTTATATTTCTTTATATATAAGATTTTTTTTTTTTTAACACTGGCTTATCCTGTATCACTTTAAGCAACTTTATTAAAAGAAGATTATATTTAGTGACAATTGGGATAAATATTTCTCCATACTGTTTGAGGATTTATAGATTATTAGAGTAAAAATAGTACAAAGGGCTATCTATTTACATAATTCAATCTAAGTTTAATTTAACCAGAATAAGAGAAATATATGATTACTTAATGTAAATAATCTCTGCTATTAAGTTTAATATTATCTAGGATTTTTATCTGCCAATTAACTTGTTGTCACCTGTTAGATGTGTCTAACTTGTCAGGGCTTGCCTAAGATACTTAGTACTATTTAATACTAAGGATCACTTATACTAGTCAAGGACTAGACAATGTACTATAAAAACAGAAAGATAAAAGAAAAGAAGAAGATAAAATAAAAAAGAAAAAGTTGAAAATATTTATAAGAAGAAAGAATAGATAAAGAATAAGAAATGCTTAATAATAGTTCTTTCATATAACTTTTCCTCTAAAGAAATATTTGTTTCATAATCATGATACTTTCAAAAGATAATGAGAGAGAGGAGACCATAGTTCATATAATATTTATCCACTTGTATAACTAGCAATAACTTATAATAGATCTAAGATTCTTATAAATCTTAGGAAATATATTCATATTCTATATTACATGTATTTTTGTTTATATTTTTGCTAACCATGGAATTATTAATTCCAATCTTTAGTCAATTAATCTGTTCAAAATCTGATGCAACAAAAAATTTAGAGTTAAACTAAGGTAGGTAAAATTCTTCAAAATATCAAGAAAAACTATTATACACTGAGAGAAAAGACATTTTTTCCTATAATATTTATATCAGTTTCCTAAATTGACATAAAGTTATTGGTTCACACTTCTTTTTAGACTTTAGAACTTCCATAAGAAAAAGAGAAAATATACTTTTTTATTTGATTTTTTTTTTTAAAAAGGTTTCTTGACATTAATTTTTTAAGTAGAGAGGTTTTGAAAAAAAAAGTAAAAATATAACTATTACTAAATAAAACAGATATTTTTAGAAGTTTTAAAGTTTTATTACTTATAAAATATAAAGTTTTGAAGGAATGCTTTTTTGAAAATGGTTGTTAGGGATTTGTTTTTATATATAAATATATTATATATATTAATTAATTAGTTTTTTTTTAAGAACAATAATATGGAATTAAAATTAATTAATAAATTTAAAATTAACTATAGTAAATAAGATAAATTTTTTTTTTGAAATAGTGACTTAATTTTGTTTTATTAAATTTTTAAGTTGAGGTATAATACAAGTACAAGAAATAGTTATTAATAAAACATTCCTAGAATTAGTTATAAGTTATTGAAATTTTATGTTACTATTATTATTTTGATTTCATAAGCTAATTATTCTTTGAGGACTTTATTGATCGAGGATGCATTATCTATTTCTTAGCTGCTTTTAATATATCCATGTTGTGAAATTCTAATTATTTCAATCTATAGGATGGCTTGTTATGATGAGAATTATTTAAATTAATCGAATTCATGCATTAAGAAAGAAGATTCATCGATTCTCTTGATATATGTACTCAGATAAGACATATTATCTCAAAAAAATTTTTTTTTGACCCCTTATATCTTACCTACTATAAAACTTGACTTTGTCATAACTATAGTAAATAATATATAATATATCAATAAATTATTTAAATATTGTTTTTAGTAATATTTTTTTTTTATAAATTAATTAAGTATTTAATAAATTAAATAAATTTGTTAACATTAAACAAATTAAAGATTGTTATTTGTAGATCTATAATATAGCAATAGTACTTTCAAGTTATAATTACAAGATCTAGAGTTTAATATTACTTGAAATCATATAAATTTAGCAAAAATTTACACAATAATTATACAAATTCTCCTTGTATATCTTATTCAGTTGGTCATTATCAAGTTTTATATTATAGTTATACTAATTCCTATGGTGCATTCTATTCAATTAGTTAAAATTATAACTTTTCTTTATTGATCTATATAAAGATAAAACCTTTGGCTTTCTGATAACTACAAAATTAAAATAGATCTAATTGAATTAATTGCATAAGAAAAGACTTGTGATTCAATCAATATATATATCCTTTATAATATTAAACTTCATATAATTTGAACAATTATATAATTTATTCATCAGACCTATAATATTTCATATTTTAGTACTAGCTAATCCATCTCAATCTAATATTCACTTAATTGAAAAAATTCAATCATAGATAGTAGTAAAGTTTATATTTTTTAAGTTGATAATTAATGAAAGAGATAGAATAAAAACTTTTATATTGATTTATTTCTTCATTATTTCACAAATAAATAGTTAAGATTTGATTTAAAGTTAGATGGTTTTAAATTAGCAATAATAATTTTCTCTTCTATAGATTTTTCTGATATATAGAAATAGTTTATAATTTATATAAGTATAATAAGTATATCAACTAAACTGATGTAACATTGGTTTATAATAGTATTCAAATATTTATATATTAGATATATTTAAAAATATAATACATATATTGTATATATAATAAATTTATTTTTGTTTTTTGAAATGACAACTCATCTTGTTTTATTAAATTTTCAAGTTAGGATATAAATTTTTTTTTTTTTTTATCTGCAATCATGCCATGATGACTTGTTTTTATTGAAAAATTAAAGTAAATTTACAATATTTTACAGACTTTCACAATGTGACTAACTCGTCTTCATACAAAAGTACTTTAAGTCAGATTTTGGGGACAATATTATACTCCCCCAATAGATTGATAATAACTTCTATCTACCAGGATCATTGCCAACAGTTTGTCACTATTGATTGCCCAAAAACCAATGAATTGCTAAGTTAAAAAGGGGAAAGGAGAAAAACGATTGAGGAAAGGGGACAATTCAAGGCCCACCAAAAAAATCCAAAAATAAAAATAACCTCTTCTCAAAAGGGATCTACCTGATTGGGATAGTCTTCTTGCTTCACTTGAACCTCAGAAGAAATTTTATTTTTCACCACCTGCGGTATCGGACGAGTCAATCCAACTGGTCTTTCATTTAAGTAGGCACTGGATTGGGATATTTCAAGGAAAGCATTTAGACCTCGGCTTTTTTCCATTAAAGCTTTGTCACCACTTGAGGAACTTAGGTAAGAGATGGGAGTTTGCAATCCACATTACCCAT